CTATACCCCGACCGAAGCTGCTACCTTGACGTGGTGGTCGGGCTTGCCTATCGTGATGACCCAACCGAGCTATACTGGCTAGAACACATGTTCCTGCAGGTCCTACCATGCCAGGCAGGTCGATTGGAGAACGATGAGACTAAAAGCAGCTACCCAAGGTCTGAGGGCGAAGTCGTACTGCTGACTGCACAGGGGTGTGACAGCAGTAAGGTGTTCCCCTCGGACAACCAGCATCTGCAGCGATGCTGCCTTCTCACAAGGAAGGAAGGGTTAGAAAAGGTCGGCCCTAAAAAATGTCACACCTCCCCTAACTCACGGATTTCCGTCTCCTTGGGTAAGGGTGCCCACTAAGGGCCTTTAAGAACGGAGCTAATCCTCTAAATACCTCTCATAAAAAGGCCGTGCGTGACCGGCCTCAAGCAGTTGTCCCTTGGACTCTGCAGTCACGCACCAACACTAATCCATCTTCCTTTTCAGGTTCGTCAAGAAACAACCTTCCACGGTATGGGCAGCCGGGAAGTGATAACCGCCCTCATACCCGTAACAGCACACGAGACCAAATTGTTCAAAATCAAATCCTTCCTAAATTCCCTAATACCTCTCTTATCTCCACAACTAACTCTTCTCACATTCATTTATTACAGTGCACAGCTAATGCAAACGATGCGAGTTTGCGAAACGTCGTTCCTGGTCTCCTTAAACCCCGTTCTAAACTACATGTTGGAGCATTCAATGTACGGACATTGTGTCAAATAGGGCAACAGGCATCATTAGCTAGGACTTTAGAATCTCGTGCCATCGAATGTGTGCTGCGTCTCGGAAACGCGCATACAGGATCCGAGTAGCATCACTCATTTGACCTCACCATGTCAAGATAAAGAAGCAGCTCGATTTACTCTTCGTGTATCCGGTAGCCCTGATGCTGCTTCTAGGGGCCTCGCCGGTGTAGGTATAGCATTGAGTCGTAGGGCAGAACAATCTCTCCTTGACTGGATCCCTGTAGATAGTCGCTTGTGCGCCGTCCGACTGAACGGGACAGTAAGGACTCGGAAAGATAGGGACACTCGCCGTTGCCTCTTCGTCATATCAGCCTACGCCCCCACTGACTGCAGCCCAGATGATGTAAAAGATGAGTTTTACAGAAAGTTTTCGGACCTCCTCCAAAAAGTTAGGCGCTCTGATATAGTTATAATGGCTGGTGACTTCAATGCACAAATAGGTAGACTGAGTGAAAATGAAAGACACCTAGGTGGATGTTACGGTCTCGCGGCTCAAAGAACAGACAATGGCGACCGTCTGCTGCAACTGTGCTCAGATAACCGCCTATTTCTAGCAAACACTAATTTTAAGCATAAGGAAAAACACCTTTTAACCTGGCGACCCCCGAAGTCGTCTCAACGTTGGACACAACTAGATCATATCGCCATCAGCCACCGATGGAGGGATTCGATAGAGGACTGCCGCTCGTTCTGGGGCACATGTTTAGATTCAGATCATGCCCTAGTGCGAGCACGTATTTGTTTGAGGCTTACTGGACGTAGGAAAGACACCGTAAGGAAGCCTCTTAGGGCTTTACTTGATGATAATCAAGCTAAGAAAATATTTCAGGAGGAACTAGAAAAACAGTTAGGCGACCATGCAAGTGATTCCCATCCTGAAGCAGGTTGGAATCATATCAAGAAGGCTGTGGAAACAGCAATGGTATCTGCTAGCAAGGTAAACCACAAGGCTAGGATGAAGCAGTGGATTTCAGTTGCATCCACCGGACTGATGGATGCTCGAAAACGCATCCCACCTGACTCTGAACATGATGAAGAGCGTAGTCAGCTTAGGCGCAGACTTATAAAAAGCCTACGTAACGACCGTGAACAGTGGTGGGTGGCGAAAGCAAAAGCGATGGAAAAGGCAGCGGCGATAGGCAACACCAGACAACTTTTCCGCCTTATTAAAGAAACCGGTATTAGGAACCCGAATGTGAGTGAGACTATCTCGGAAAAGGATGGTCTTATTATCCATTCTCAATCTAGGAGGCTGGACCGATGGGCAGAACACTTTAGGGATCAGTTCAACTGGCCTTCAGCCACACTTCGGTTACCCACGATCTCCAGTCATCCTGAATGGCAAATCGATGTAAGTCCTCCCAGTTTACATGAAGTTGAGAAAGCTATAGGAAATCTAAGGGGAGGTAGAGCGGCAGGTCCCGACACGCTTACCCCTGAGATGTTTAAGTATGGTGGTCCAGTTTTAACGGTTAGACTGACCGAGATCCTAGGTAGAATCTGGGAAATGGACGTAATCCCATCTGACTGGTCTCAGTCGCTAATTGTCCCAATCTACAAGAAAGGACAGAAGTCCTCTTGTGACAATCACAGGGGAATAAGTTTAACTAATATAGTTTCTAAATTTTTAGCCTCGATTATACTTAGACGTCTAACTAGAGCTCGTGAAGAGCAGACTCGAGAAAACCAGGCTGGTTTTCGACCTGGACGTGGTTGTATAGACCACATCTTCACACTACGACAGGTCCTGGAACACAGACACACATTAAGACGTCCGACAATAGTCGTGTTCCAGGACCTTAAGGCGGCATTCGACTCTGTGGATCGTGAGGTTCTGTGGCAGTGTCTGTCATTGAAAGGTGTACCAAAGAAGTAAATTCACCTCATACAAGCACTCTACTCGAACACCACTGGTCGGGTGAGAGCATATGGCGAACTGTCATCTGAATTCTCTACATCAAGTGGTGTCCGTCAGGGATGTCCACTCTCTCCATTCTTGTTTAACTTTGTCGTAGACATCCTCTTAGAGTTAACATTAAGCTCGTCAGATTTTTCAGGGGTTGACCTTCTACCAGGAAAGTCGCTTACTGATCTAGAATATGCCGATGACATAGTTCTATTCGGTGAAGACGCTGACAAAATGCAGAGTCTTCTGACTACCATAAGCAACAATGCGAGCATGTTCGGGATGCGGTTTTCCCCCTCGAAATGCAAAATGTTGCTTCAAGATTGGGTTGCATCGGCACCTGAACTAGTGATAGGGAGTGAAGTGGTCGAACGTGTAGACCGCTTCACTTATCTGGGGAGTCTCATCAGTGCTGACGGTCTGGTGACTGACGAAATCTCAGCTCGGATACAGAAAGCTCGATTGGCTTTTGCCAACCTGCGTCACTTATGGCGTAGGCGTGATACCAAAAGGCGGGTGTACTGCGCTGCAGTTCGTTCCGTTCTCTTATATGGCTGTGAAACATGGCCGTTAAGAGTAGAAGATGTTCGTAGGTTACTAGCATTCGATCATAGATGTTTAAGAAGCATTGCTCGTATATCGTGGGACAGCCGAGTAAGCAATGCTGTCGTTAGGAAACGAGTACTAGGTAAGGATGGCAGATCAATCGATGAAGTGGTGAAACTTCATCAGTTGAGGTGGTTGGGACATGTGTTACGTATGCCTAACCACAGACTGCCTCGACGAGCTATGTTTTGTGGTGTAGGAGTAGGTTGGAAGAAAGTTAGGGGCGGCCAGACCAAAACATGGCAGAAATCCATGAAGTCTCTGACAAGTGGACTGAGTCATGTTGGTAGATGTAGACTACCTGGTTGGGGTCCGCGAGACGAAAGTCATCAATGGTTAGAGACCTTGAACGACATGGCTCAAAATCGTTTGCAATGGCGCAGGTGCATCCACTCTTTGAGCTCTCCCAAATCCTAATCTTCTGGATTAGCCAGCACCCCTACCTTTGTCTTTCTAACCTTATCTCACTGAATTATATTTTTTGAATAATATCTTCAAACCCTAGTCTTCTTTATTAACATTAATACCTCTACTATCTTTATCACTATGGGATTTGATTTGACATTTGCGTTTCTGTGCTAATAATGTGGTATGGCAACATGAACTTATGTACATACGTACGAAGTTCTACGTTGCAACTGACTGACTGACTGATAAGGTTAATGTACTTTTTTGGTACTCCTTTCAATGATATACAATCCCACAAAACCTTACGATCGAGAGTCGAATGCCACCTTAGGGTTGAGGAATACAACTATTGTTGGACGCCTAAATGTGAGTCTATGTTCTAGGAATTGACAAAGTGTGAATATATGGTCTATAAAGTCACGTCCAGGTTTGAAGCCAGCCTGGCTTTCTCGAGTATGCTCTTTACGAGTTCTTTGAAGTATTATTGAAGCTAATACTTTAGACACCATATCAGTTAAACTGATCTCTTTGTGATCGTTATAAGAGGACTGTAGTCATTTCTTATAAACCGGGACAATCAGTGATTGAGACCAGTCGCATGGGATTACGTTCAGTTCCCAGATTCCACCTAAGATTTATAATATGATAAGCCCACTTGCCGTTATCTATATACCGATATACCTTGAGCACGATGAAGTGCAGAAAAGTAGACCAAAAGCTTGCATAGTTACAGCGATAAGGAAATGACTAAAATTACGTATGTAGATGACATCTGTTTTTGATAATACTTATCATTTATTCAAAAATCCCAATGAATATTACAAACTAATGAGGCAATTAAAAAGAGGACAATTTGCTTATCCGTTTTAAAAACAGGATGTTACGAAACGAAAAAAAACTGTCGTTAATGTAGATGATACAACTTAAGTATTGTTGGCTTGTGTAATAGGATTTTCGGTACGCTAGGTATCTCAACTTCTTTGAATCTTAAAGATGTGAGTGGAATGTATTATGCTTTCATGAATATCAATTATCATACTGTAGTGAGTTAGGTAACAAATAAATGTAACAAACGTTATTAGCATAGTGATACAACTTGAAACCTGCCACAAATATAATTTCATCCAACCTTAGAAACTTGTCAACAGACCATGTAAAATAAAATAATAAGCAACAGGGAGGAACTGCATAACTGGAAACACACCGATCAACTAATAAAAGTATGAAACAATCAATAAAAACTTATCTGATTCATAAACACTATCGAGGACTTGATGAGTAATGAAATATGAAACTATAATTTAGTAACAGTAAGCCTAATGCTCATACTATTAAAATAGCTTTATAATCATAATTCGACCACAGAACTATTCCAAACAAAATCTGTTTGAATGTATAGGCTGTAGCCAGAAACCAAAAATGACGAAATATAGTAAACAATAAACCCGTCATACGTGAAGCATTTTACACTGAAAATACATATTAAACCATCTAGTACATCAAACTGCCAATAATTTGTAAAAAAAACTGTTTTCTAAAACCCACCTGCATATAAACGCTTAACAGAAGATATCGTATGGCAGCAAAATCATTATGATCCATGTTTTCCACTTCGACGATACCCCAAGGATAGGAACGCGCCCGAACGCGAATCCCTGCATTATTAGTAATCAATGTATTAGCCCCAACAATAGCAAAAGGAACCCTGTCACGTAGTCGCCGTAGTTTGACTAATTCCTCATCGTTGCTTCGATCTATTTGAAAAAGAGAAGAAAGTATGCTGAAAATAGTATTCTTATGTATCAATAATTAACAATTCTGAATACAGATTATAGTTTCCATAAAATAAAATGATTTACACTTACGTAAAAACAACAATGACAATTATAATGTGGATAACATTTATTTCCAAAAACAAGAAAAATCTGAGAAGAGTTTCTACACAAACAAGTGAGTAAAAAACATGATACACAAGTGAAGTTGAACTTTGGAGATTGTTGTATTAAGGTTGTCTTTACTGACTGACCAAATCAGGTAGGTGAGTAGTGTTAGTATTGAGTTCAGTAGTCAGGTTAACTTAAATAGATTTCCGAGGTTGAATACAACTAACTACGTGATTTTGTTTGACAACTTGTTCTTGTGAACTCAGTGTAGTGGGTAAAAATTCGACGTTAAGTAACTTCAGATCCATTGCTTCATTTTATTAGTGATTTTCATAACCCAACCTCAAAAGCATTAAAACGAAGACGATCTCGTACTCTAATATTAAGGTGTTCATGTTTATGGATTTATGTCGTTAACTTAATGTTCAGGGTGCGATCCTACTCCTCCAAATGTGAAATTTTGCTTCAGGAATGATATGCATCAGCCGTCCTTACTGCCTGGTATCTGAGGAATTCTAGGTGCAGCTTCATAAAGCTTGATTTGTTTTTGCTTGTGGTGTGGATAAGACATGTATCAGCCGATCGAAGGATAAGTTTACTGCATGGTAGTTAGCTCCGTTTTATTTTATGTGCAACATAGTAAAATTAGAGGACATATGCAGGTTACTAGTATTTGATAGGTGCTTTTGAAGGTAGTAAATCTACATCAAGTGTGGTGGTTACGACATGAGTTGCGGATTCCCAACCAGCTCATACACCCGGGGGTAATTGTCTGGAGTAGTAAGCTAAACGAATATTGAGGAAGTCCAAACCAAAATGTGGCATCAGTTTATGCAGACACTAATAATTAGATTGGGTCATGTTAACAGGCGTGGACTACCTGCTTGAGGCTTGCATAATTACCGCAATCAATGGTTAGAATCTTAGTTGCATGGCTCAGAATCGTTCACAATGGAGGAGGTGAATTCATTTCTTGTCTTCTCTTAGAATCAGTCCTTGAATCTCTTTACACCCATTATTTATTCTATATCTAATTCTTAGTTCTAGCACTGCTGATACTGTTATTACATCTATTGCTATGAGATTCGCCTTGAAATAATTTTATTTTTCCGTGCTCATATAGCATGGCAACTTGAGACGATTCACGTGTTAGGTCTACGTCAACTTTTTAAATAATTGTCTAACGAAATTCCAAACAAGATCCAATTCTATACTTCGAAAAATTCTTCCTGCAAATACTGGTTTAAGTGGTGACTCGAAGAATTCTGAAACACTTACAAACGTAGACGTATGGACAAACATAAACAAGTAAAAGCCATGTTACTCCGAAATTAACACATTAACAGTAAGAATATAAATCCTGGGAAACAGATTAAAAGGGTTTGAGAAATTCTGGGTGTGAACCAAAAGCAGAAAATTAATGAATACTAAATTAATTACCTGAGCATTCAGGAGGGTCAATAAACTCAAACACACGTATTTTTCTGGAGGCTAGGTCATTTAATATTGTTTTCTTGAATTCACGACATTCTTCTGGAGTTAGTGTGTCAGCTTTAGCAATCACTGGAATTACATTAACCTTATCTTGTATGCGTGACAAGAATTCCAAGTCCAACGGTTTCAGTGAATGTCCTAAAAAACAAATGTGATAACTAACACTGAAGAACTAACTTTCGATAACAAAGTCAAAATTATTGGGATTTTACCAAAAAGGAATAGTAAAGTTGATTCGGAGTGTATTTGGAACGTGAGCGATGCTTTAAAAGACAGGTGAGATCTGAGTGACAATTATCGGTCCGAATAATATCATACTAAAACTTAGTTTATTCAACTATTTTAACATTTAATAACAGATTGTTGAATAGTGAATTGCTTTGGGACATTAAATTGTAGAAAAACTATGACTTTAAATATCTGATAATTTAATTTAGTAAATGCAATAATTCAGATGAAAAAATAACCTAAATGGAAAATCAGTTAGCGAGCGCAAAGAAATCAATTGATTTTTACTGGCCGGTAAAGATACTGGATTGCCACAATAAACCATTGCCAACGTTGTAACAATGGATCCGACAACAGAGTCTATTAAGTTTATAACTAAGTAGATAAATTTATGAAATCATATTAGTTATTTGAAAATGGAGTAGTGAACAGTGTATTATCTCACCATAAGAATCTTAAAGCTTTAAAACTCTTACTAAGAACGGATATCGCAGAAATCTATAGGTTTTTGGAGAACTGAAGGATTGAAGGATATTTATTAACTAACATGAATTATCAGGTCTAAAATGTAAACATTGCCCAGTAATATCACGATTTTGTGTACATTTATCACCATGAATTTACCTGTCGGAGCAATGAAGTAAATACATGCATGGACACGCTGGTCTGGGATGCTTTGACATGGACGATTGACTCGGCTTTCTCCAGAAATGTAATCATCAAAACGTGAAATTATATAATCCAGAACGGGTTGCCAACAGTTGGTATTATCTACACAATCACCGAACCCAGGAGTATCAATTAAATTGAGCTTTAAACAAACGCCATTTTCCTGCAAAATTAAATACACTTTGCAACTTTAAAAATTACTTTAAGTATAACTGTATGTGACTGGACGCAAGTAGTTTTCTTCTGACGTTTAGAAGGACCAGGGTGTTCGCTGTTATATACCTCACTAAGAAACATTGAGTTTACGAATGTAGACTTTCCAACACCCGACTCTCCAACAACAAGAATGTTAAATTCAAATCCCTTACGGACAGCTTTCCGATAAATCTAAAGTTAAAAAGAACATCTAAAATTTGACAAACCTACCTGGTTAGGAAGATTGGAGTAACCGACATAACCCTCTACAGAGGAAATTCCATTTGCTGGCGCGGCAACCACACCATTTATATGAGCTCCTGGGTCAGTTTTCCATTCCTTATCAGCATTTGCATCTTTTGAGTGGATTTTTAACGAATCCAGATTTGGCAAAGCATCTTTTCCAAGGTAGACACTTCTCTTACTAGCCCCATTGTGTAATGGAGACTGCTGCTTGCTATAAAACAGTAAATGTATATGAAGCTTACATAAGACATCCCTACTGGGTTAGAAACTTCCCTAAAACTTTATACCCTAAGTACCGCAAGAAACCGAAACACCCGCTTCCAGTATTCAATGTCTCCTTCTTAAGCTAGCATAAACATTGATTTATTCGCACTCAGCTCTTGTTCTTTCGGCAAGGTTACAGGTATTTATTAGAACTGAAAGGATGGTAGTCTAGTCTCTCGACTGGGTCAAGTACGGTTACTTGGCAGATCTTGGTGAATTTGAATGTTTCGTGATTTGAAAGAATACGTTTGTTTCATGGCAGTAGGCCTTCTGGATACGAGTAGCTATCACTTAACCAGGCCTCAGATCAGTGTGGAATAATAATGAGGAAATTTCAGAATTATGAGTATAAAATGACTAACAGTTTAACTAGTTGATAGTGAAGATTGCGTGAGAGAATATAAGCTTAAGTGAACGAGAGGAGCCAGAGATGACAAGCGAAATCGATTAAGTTAGTGACTTCAGGAAATAACAATCACAAATACTAGCAAGTTTTGAGACATGCACCATGTAGAGATGGTCTTAGCGGGAGAAGATAATCTGTATGCGAGTACATGTTTATCTAGCCTATTCTTCAAGTTGTCCACTGAGGGTTGTGTGGTCCCTTTGGCTGATAGAGCATTCCAAGTTGAGACAGCTTACAATTAGAGTAAGTGGGAACGTGCCTGGCTGCTCTCTATTTGATGCGCAATTTTTCAATGCTTACTTCGACAGACGTGGTGGTAATGTTGCTCATATTGGGATGAATAGGCGTGCTTAACATGTACGCCATTGTCAGATCAATTCTGATTCTACTGTGACGTAAAAGGAATACCCCCAAGAGATGGAATCTATCTTTGTAGGGTCTATTCTTCAAACCTTTTACACATCTAGTTACTTCGGGACTTTTCAACTCATGTCAGGCTCTACTTTGAGCCTGTAGCAGGCATACCGTTTCTCACTTAACCCACGATCTCTTTCCAGGTGCGTGAGGTACACTGTACATAACTGTCCTCCGCTAATTATCCACTGTCAGCCTCCACCGCTCTCGTTGTTAGTTATCTCCATAACTAATTGTAGTTATGGAAACAACTAACCAATCAGATTGGTTAAGCGCTCACCATGCTATATATGGTCTGACCTGTCTGTAAACTTTCTTTGATGTGAATGGTCTATCAATTGAAGGATGTTGCTATTTATTTATATTGATGTGACACATGTTTTTTATTCATTTTCTAAAGACACGCTATACTGTCCGGTACGTTTGCTCATCCTGCTTGATAATTGTAATTTCCTTGTTTATTGTACTAAATTAATCGTTTTCTTTTGTTTAGAAACAGATAAAGTTTAATACCGAATTGTCTTCTGTTAACTATAGTTTCACTCTGGACTCTGTCATCGGCGGTATTTGCGTTTACGTTTTAGAATTACATCTGTAGGACAAATTAAATCCTACATAGTTTCGGACAGTAATTCATCAAAGGTTCATATACTGAATATCTTCAAATGTCTACGGAGGATCATAAGAGTGATCAGATTCCTGAATTGTCTCCACACTATTCAGAAACTCATAGTGAAGACCAGTTTGGAAAAAATAGCCTCCGAATGGATCCTTCGTTGGAATTAGAATTAGCTAAAGTACGTTTAGCTCATCTAGAAAAGGAAATTGAGTTAGAACGATTACGGCAAAGAGGAAAAGAATATTGTGACCAAATTCAGGATGAAAAGTTTATGTCGTTCGAATCTACATCCGGTTCGCGTACAGCTGATAGCGCAGGAAAGGGCTGGGTAGGAATGATATCCAGAGCTTTAGACCTACCCAAGCGAGAAATCATGAGGTTCGATGGTAATCCTATGAACTACTGGAGTTTCATACGAAATTTCGAGGATTGTTTTGATGAAAGCGTCGGACCTCGATCTAAGTTAAACTACTTGATTCAATATTGTGATGGTGAAGCTAAAGCTACCATTGTTCATTGTACATTGCTTCAACCAGAAGAAGGTTATCGTAAAGCGTTAGAGCTTCTTGAGGAAGCATTCGGTCAGAAACACGTAGTTGCTCGTGCATTTATCGACAAGATGTTGAACTTCCCTGCTATCAAGGAAACCGACTCAAATAGTTGAAGAAGGCTAGCTCGTGAGATGTATGTCTGTGAGCTTACGCTCACACAAATGAACTACCTGTCCGATCTTAATTCTACGAAAACCATCGAAAGCATGTTTTTAAAACTTCCACCACACCTACAGAGAGAATGGGTTAAAGTAGCATGTCGAATTCTCAAGACGGGTAGAGAGCCTTCATTCAATGACCTCTGTGAATTTGTTAAAGAACAGTCGGATATAGCTAACACTAGATACGGCCTGCTTGTCAACCGCAGCGATAATGTTGACAAAAGAGGTTTTGGTGCTTTAAAGGGGAAAGCTGCCGCAAGTTACAACATAGCGACGGTAGCACATGTAAGCATTAATGACAGCAATACTTCCTTATATAATTCACCTTGTCCAGATTGCTCAAGCAATCACCTCTTGGATCAGTGCCAGAAGTTTAAAAACAAGAATGTTAAAGAAAGGAAAGAGTTCGTCTTTAAGCATAAATTATGTAATAATTGTCTGAAACCAAACCATATAGCAAAGAATTGTCGATCGCCAAGGTCGTGTATTGTTGAGGGATGTGGCTGGAGACATCATACTCTGTTACATGAGAAGCAGGAAGAACGAAGAGATATTATTAGTGATGCCTGCATTAATTCTCAGATTTGTACAGAGGAAGATGTTAAGGGCATACAGAGGCCTGTGGCATTTGCAGTAGTTCCTGTGTGGATAAAAAACGGTGAGAGAATTATGCAGACGTGCGCCTTTCTAGATAGTGGGTCAGACACCTCTCTAATAGTAGAAGATCTAGCTGATAATTTAGGCCTCGAGGGAAAGCCGAGAACTGTGTCTTTAAAGACTATAAATAACGAATCGTCATTGGTATCTAAAGAGGTAGATGTAGAGTTGCACGCTATAGACTTCTCATCATCTGTTAAGATCCAGAAGGTATTGACAGTCAGAAAACTACCGGAAGTTCACAGAACTGTACCAACGGCGCGTCAAATGGCATCCTGGTCCTATTTAAAGGACGTAAGTTTCCCGAGAGTAGAAGATGAGGATGTTAAACTGTTGATCGGGTGTAATGTACCGAGAGTACACGAGACGAAGGAGGTGAGAACTGGAAAGACAGATGAGCCGTCTGCTGTGAAGACCTTATTGGGTTGGACGCTGTTCGGTCCTTACGGGGAATTCATTGATAACAACCGTGCACTTAATCACCTCCCGGCTAAGGAGGAACTGGAAGATAAGTTTGAGCAGTTGTACTCAACTGAATCGAAAGACCCGTTTATGTCTATGGAAGATCGTAGAGCATTCAACGCTATATCAAGCACAGTGCAAAGGTTAAATGAACGTGATGAAATTGCGATAAACCTGAATGGAATAAACCTTCCTCAGACTAAATCGACAGATCAGGATTTTTCTAGTTCTCTTTCTAATCATCCTGCTTCTCTCGCAGAAGCTTATGTTGCATCACTCGAAGCATCGAAAGAATTAGCTAAGTCACCTACCGTTCTATCAAGTCCTGCTATGGCTAAGAAAGACATTCCATCTGATTGTGTTCTCGGTTCAAATATTTCATCAAACGTTGTGAATTCTGATGTGTCGAAAGATGCGTCGGTTAATTTATGGACATCATCATCTACAAGTCATGATTCTGCTTCGTGTCCTTTTACTACATTGGCTAAAGTTGTTACAGGTTCTCAGACAGACTGTAAGGATTCGAAAAATCTGGAGGATTCTGCTAAGGAAGTAGTTGAAGATAAACGGAAAGAAACGTTAACTTTAGCGGAAATCGACCTAGTTGCAGGTGAAATAGAAATGTCATTTATTCGACAGCATTGCCGAGCTCATAATTCCGATGCTAATAAACAGAGGTGTAATAATCTTGGACCTTTTCATTTCCAGTTAAATGATATACACAACAACGGTGCTGAAAAGAATAACGAATCTCTCTGCAGGTCACGGAAAGTAGTACGTTTAGTGTATGATGGCAGACTGTTGATTAATACTCTCAGTTGGTTACAAATGCCTGCTGCTCTAGTTGACTCACGAACTTTGAGAATGAGTGCAATTAATGAGGTGGGTAGTTATGTAATGGCTGCATGGCGCAACGACTTCCAGTATCTTGCTGAGGTTCTAGCCCATCGTCAGCGACATGGTACAAGAGCAGAGTATCGCCTACGTTATATTTGGGATCGCGTTGTAGAATGGACACCCGTCAGCAAGTTACGCAAAGCAACTCAGTACGAAATCGATTATGTCTTAAAATTCTGTGAAGAGCAAGGTACACTATCCACAAATAAAATCCCTAGTAAATTTGATCTGCAGTATTCATGTAGTAGTAGCAATGATTCTGCATCAGGAACATCTCAAGCTAAAAGAATAAGGACAAATGTATCAGAAAGCAAGTCAATAGACCGCACTTCGGATCCTGAAACACATCGCTATCGGTCATGTCCTACTCATGTAAGTACAAGTGGTTTCTCTGTCTTAGAAGACAAAAAGACTCTTCTTCCAACATTATTTGATGGAATCATCGAACAGGATGGGATGGTTTGTGATAAGAGTGTTTTCCAGTTTCACGAAGCCTGTCGAAGACGTCGTGAATTGAAAAGAAAAGCTATCGAAGAGAACGACACATGTCCATATGGATTCGACAGTTCTGTATCTGTTTTGAGTCAAACATACACCATCAGGTCAAACCAGAACAGACGTGGTCTTAATTCTATAAGAACCGAAAATTATGCAGCGGAATCTACAGTAGCATCCCCACCGGTATCATCGAATTCATTTTGCCAGAAAAGTGATAAAATAAAGGGAAACATTACCCTATGCGGATCCAACGAGATGTGTAAAGGAACGCTGGGAGTAGAGCAGAATATCCGAGCGGATGAATCATTTCTCAGAGTTCACGAGTTTCCTGGAAACCTAACCAGAAGGAATATTTTGTCGTTTATAGCATTAATCTTTGATCCCGGAGGCGGTATATGGAAACATATTATAAAGTCAACGAGAAGGAATCCACAACATGGAGACTCACTGTTAGTAAACAATACCGGCTTGCTGAGAAATCCTTGGGTGAAAGCTATAGTTAGAGAAGTCAATTATGGTCCCGATTGCCGAGTCAGAACGATTCAATGGAAGACAGATACCGTAGAGATCGACCGAGATATACGAAACCTATGCCTACTAGAGGAAGCTGACTACTTGAACGCCGCGATAACGAGGTCTGGACGTGGTGACCGCTTCGGGGGGAGTGTTAGTTATCTCCATAACTAATTGTAGTTATGGAAACAACTAACCAATCAGATTGGTTAAGCGCTCACCACGCTATATATGGTCTGACCTGTCTGTAAACTTTCTTTGATGTGAATGGTCTATCAATTGAAGGATGTTGCTATTTATTTATATTGATGTGACACATGTTTTTTATTCATTTTCTAAAGACACGCTATACTGTCCGGTACGTTTGCTCATCCTGCTTGATAATTGTAATTTCCTTGTTTATTGTACTAAATTAATCGTTTTCTTTTGTTTAGAAACAGATAAAGTTTAATACCGAATTGTCTTCTGTTAACTATAGTTTCACTCTGGACTCTGTCATCGGCGGTATTTGCGTTTACGTTTTAGAATTACATCTGTAGGACAAATTAAATCCTACACTCGTGGCTACAGGACGTGTAAAAGATTACGTAGTCTATCTTTGTGCAGTAAAGTTAAGTAAAGTCCTCGTATTGTTAAACTATTTCATTTACTATATCATTAAAACATGACTGTTCCAAGGTTACTGCTTTCTACTGGTGTGTGGACATGGACATCTTCGATTGGGAACTGATCAGTTGCTGACAAATAATCAAAGTTTGAAGGTTTTCGTCTTCACTCCATCCATCGGCGTCACACATACTTACAGTCTTTCACAAACTTCTAAAAGATATGAGAAGCCATCAGTTTAATTACGCTGCGGGAGTTGAACCCTGCTTCATTAGGTTTGGGGGCGAAGGGTTTAAATCTCCAGCTAGCAGTGTTCGGTCAAACCTCAGGTGTGTTGGTTACATTATCTCCTGAACTAGCTTATCATCCTTGGAGTTGGTTTCTAGGAGTCCGATTAATCCGTCCAATCAAGTATAGTGCCATTTGTGTTGAAGCAGCACCAGCGTGATTCCTTTGCCCCAATTAGTTGAGAGCTGTGTTGTGTTACGGCTTTGAGTTGGCTGCACATGTAAATCACCAATCAATCTTCTGCTCCGTGTACCCGAAAAAGGTCATGCTTTGCATGCTCACTGTTAGTTATTTTATAACTAATTGTAGTTATGCTATAACCAACCAATCAGATTGGTTAAGCGCTCACCACGTTATCTAGTCTGACCGGTCTGTAAACCTTCATTGTTGTAAATGACCTATTGATTGAAGGACGTTATTATTTTATTATATTGATGTGACTCATGTTTTTATTCATTTTCTAAAGACACGCTATACTGGTCGGTACGTCTGCTCGTCTTACTTGATAATTGTAATTTCCTTATTTATTGTACTAATTTAATCGTTTTTTGTTGAGAAACAGAAAAAGTTTAAAACCAAGTTGTCTTTTACTAACTATAGCTTTACCTCTGATTCTGTGCTCGCCAATATTGCGTTTACTGTTTCAGAATTACACCTGTAGGACAAATTAAATCCTACACTCACTTCGTCCTCAGCGATATTTAAAGATAGGCACGTTTGACTTAGGTGAGTGACCTTCAGATGCAACTGACAATACATAATTTTGACCTCTGCTAAATTACGCTTAGCCCCTTTGCTTTTTATAGAGGCTTGTAGTGGAACGCTTCTACGAAGAAAATGCGATTTTTGAAATGTAAACATTATTGTACACCTTTTGTTTAACTGTACCAAAAACACTTCTACTCCTTCTTGCGCGCAACGTTCTCTTCACGTTGCCGCCATATTTCTCTGTTTGCTGCTCCCCATGTAATGCCAACGTTCTGCTTCAATAAAACCACGGAGTATGGATTTATTTTGTTTGCTTTTCGTCACGCAACCGTATGGAACATTTAGTGGTGAGCATAGTCAATCTGTTATCTGGATTCGCTCACAACAGGCTCTTGAAGGTTTATCCTAACAATTGGTGCTTGTCTACCGAAGCGTCCGTCCTCGGCTTTAGACAAGCTGACTAAAATGGGTTGGAAAATTCTCAGGGAACTGGCTACTGATAGTTTTTGCTCCCATAGTTTGTCCCACTAGCGAGACCGTGGTCCAGTATGCAATATCTAATATCTTTTTCACGAGCTAGTGTAAACCAATTGATTTCTTTGCGCTCGATGCTTGTTCTTTCGGTACAGTTCCAGGTGTTTGGTAGTGTTCAATGAACGGAGGTCTAGCCACTCGACTGTCTAATTCTAGTCAGTTGGCAGTTGGTTATGGGTTTGTATGTCTCGGGAATCGAATGAAAACGATTGTTTCAGGGCAGTAGTGTTTCTGGACAACAGCAGCTATCACATTACCAGACCGGAGGTCAGTTAGTTGCAGTGTGGAGAGTAATAAGGATAATAAGGATAGAATTCTAATGCTAATATGAATATTTCAGAACTATGTAATATGTAGATGAATTTAGTTTGTTAATTGGTAGTGAAGATTGTAAGAGAGGACCATAGTGTAAGGAAACAGAGATAATAGGCGAGATAGATTAAGTAAGTGATCCGAGGAGAGCAATGATAACAACCAGCAGGTCTCAATATATGCATCATGAACAGCTTGTCCAAGAGGGAGATGATAATCCTTGTGTGAGTACTTGATTATCAAGTCTCTTCTTAAAGCAGGGGGGGCTGTGGTCACCTCGGCTGGGAGAGCATTCGAAGTTGCGACGACTCGCAATGAAGAAACGTGTGCACGAATCTAAGTACTCGCTCTCTGATGTGCAGTCTTTCGAGGATTGCCTCGAGGGGAGTGGTGATGATGCATCCATCCAAAACTGCTACAGGTAGAGTATTTTGATGCAGCAGGCTAACTAGCCGAAAAAATAAATTCCTTAGATGTAGTGCAGGTAAAGGTCCTATTGACTTATCTCCACATATCCATATACTCAAATCAACAGCAACAGAATCGCAACCAATTTTGGATAAGGGGCAGTATACTTGAACAGAAGAGAGTATTCCCCATAATCCATGGACTCCCATCCCGAAATCATATTCCCGAAACAAAGTACGGATACTTTTGGCAATGTCTTTGTTTTTTTAACTGAAAAATATTTGTTGTTATGATGTTAAAGATAGGGGACACATGAGATAAAGAAAGCAATCGACAAAAACCAGGGGTGAGATTAAAACAAACTGTTAGTCTGGATGGGAAGTCAGTAGCGTGCGACTTCGAAATAACAGAATCATCAATTTGATAATCAATCAAAGACTTGATAGACGAAGGTGCATCATATATTTGAGGATGTCCGAAATTCCATAACGCCATAATAGGTTAGAAATGTTGAAGTGTATAAGCTGGATCCCAGTTTTAATGAGTTTGGCAAAAAGGTACAATTTTTCTTGGATCTGGTCGTTTCCATTGACAAATAGATTCCCGTTTAGTTAAGATCCAATTACGCTTTTTAAAACTAGTTAAAAATTCTGCAAATATTTTCAATAACCTACTTTTTTGAACGGACAGTTTTTTAACTCTACGCCAACACGCAACCATATTTTGATAACATTCGTACATACACGAAGACCAAAAGGATTAAGATCGAAATCTTGGCGGTTTTGTGGAGATGTACTTGTTAACCAAGATAAATTTCAAGAAGAAAGTGTTCATCAACGTGCTGATTTGCAGCTTTCAAAGATTCAACCAAACGTAAAGCTCCGATTGGACCTAAGCGAGACACGCCATTTGTCCAATAATCACAACCTAATAAAAGACCTAGTAGAACTAAATCACATTTTGTCAAATTCAATACGTCAAGTATACGGTGCATGTGAAAAACACACACACTAGAGTCCCGACTATCCATAGTGAAATGACGATAAACTGTTTCAGCTCCATAAAGAAAAGCGTCACCATCATTGGTAATACACGCATCTACAAGTTTATTTGAATTAAGGAATGCACATATAGCTTCCGCTTCTCCAGGACTCTGAACCCATGGAATGCCAAATGAATTAATTAGTTGAACACATTCCTGAGATACTTTTGAGAACCATATTCTACTAAGATTTGGTTTCGCATATTTCTGAGTTGTAATCTTCCCTGGCCATTTTTGTTGTCTCTGTTCCATAACATCGAATTTTAGTGATGGAGCGACACCATCCAAAACTTTTTGAGTACATTTGTTTTTTCTTTTGATGAAAATATAAATCAACTCAATGCCCCTTAGCTCATAATTTATAGTGATCATTTTTTCTTTGTATTATTTAAATATAATATCTAAATGTAATATTTTGCTAAGTACTGTAATTTACACGGCTTATTTCATTTGCTGGAGAGTGAATTCGTGCATTTCATACTGAAGTAAATATAGTTACTAATTCACAATTAAACCTCTGCTATTTATCAACGGAACTCTTTTTATATTTATACTTTCTTTCCTTAGCAACGGTTACCTTATAAGTTGTGACTTCTGAAGTTGATTTACGGAATTTTAAGTGCCTGCAATTGCTCAAGATTTCCTACAAGCAATCGTGTTCAACACTTAACAAATTTACAACTTAATCCTATTATATATCGGAACAAGCATTTATCCATAGGACAAGGAGTTCAAGCATAATGATCTGCTGAATTTCTCCTACGTCTACACAAAAATGCTGCAAAAGTGTTAAATGTTTGTTGACTCTGTCTCCGTAAAATATATGTACTTATATGTTATCAAACATTTTTTAATATCAGTTTGCAAGATTTCAAAAAAACAGAAGGATCCGAAGAGTTTATAACAAAAATTTTCGAATTCAAATACTTTATGCAATAAGCCGTTTGAGATTTGCCTGTTGACAGATTAAACTCGTTGAAATATCAATTTTTGATGACTGTTTACAAGAATCTAGTCTATATGTAGCTTAGTGGTTAGTGCTTTTAACTTTCAGCTACAGAGTCCTAGGTTCGTACAACTCCTCGCTTATTTCTGTCTGGGCAACCAAACAGAACCTTTAACTCTTATACTCAGAAAGTCACTCATACCACAGTGCATGGTGAAAGAATTTATTAACAAATAAATTAAAATTCATTATGTAAGGAACAGAGATTAATGTGATGCAATACTTGCGAAATTTGTTAAGGTCCTATAAACAAGCAATAATTAGTACTCAGTATTCTTGTTTTTTCATATAACTGAAGGTTGATCACTGATTTAATCCAAAATCTGGACATTTTAACAACATAAAACGGAAAGGCGAAACTGAGTGCAGAAAAGAGTACTACTTATTTCTCTTACTTAACAACATATTACTTTCATGTTTAACGTCAGTAATTAATTTGATATTTTGTGTAGCATATCTTGATTGGGTTGAAGGCAATAATCATAAAACTGCGAACTTAAGGTTCATGCTATTTGGTTCTCCTTGATGCAGGCTACCTTAATTGCTGAGCAAACTAGTGCTGTTTGTGCTATTAATATTTATAATAGTCAAAATCGTTACCTTTGAGATTTTGGAAAATTGATAAATTTCCATTACAACTGACTTGTTTACAGTGAGTATTCGCCGAGTAGAACCTCATATAATATTTGTGAGAAACTATTAAAATATTGAGAAGCTTACAGTGATCAAAAAAATGAAATTCTGTACGTAAAGCCTAAAAGTTTTGAATAATTTCAATGTAGAACAAAACAGGTGTGAAATGGAAACCGATTTTCAATGGATCTCATAGTTTGTCAGTCTCAATTTCTCGTTTACCATAGGAATATCAAACGAAGGTCTTAGTGATGCATCTGGGAAGGACTGCATGTTCTGTTAAAGTCTAGAACGGTATACGTGCTTTTGATCCCAACAAACTGGTTAATGTAACTATGATTAAATTGTTAAGACCGCAAAATCAAATGAATCAAACTTAGTATTTTAAAGACTTGAAATAGTTTTTTGTATGCAGAGTATTGTTACTGATTAATAAATAAGATTCATAACACGAAAGAAGGATTAAAAAGTTCTAAAAATGTTATGGAAAATTCATGTAAAGGGATGAAAGTATTGTATATCTGTTAATTTTTATAGACCGAAATTGGTGATTCGTTCCATAAATAGTGTTATATACCAGACATAAATGTAATGACCATTAGCTGAAATAAACAATTTTGAACTTGGAATAGAAATGTGAAAAAAGATCTGTACTATCAGTTATTGGATTTTTCTTAACAGAATAGGTGAAGTGTGTCTAACAGCAGAGTTGGAAAATAGCGTTTCGTTTTAACTAGATCTGATGTACTTGGATCTCAAAGTTGTTATTCACCCCGTGTATTCGAATACAATACATTTCGTTTAAGACTCTCAACACCTTGTTCACTTAAATACTGAGTCTTCAAAACTACTCACTTGTGCAAGGGAAATGAATTGAATTGAGTTTATAGTTTTTTTTTCAATTATAGAGTTGTTGATATTTTGACTGAATTTTGATCACCCTTAACTAGGTAGGTCCTTGGTTACAGATTACCTTGATATACCCATTATATCACAAGTTTATAAACATTAAATAAATGTGTCTAATAATGGATAATTCTTTAGATATTCTAACTAAAAGACATTCGAAACTCGAGATGAATATTAAGTCTCTTATGCTGGCACGTTGAATTTCAGTGCTATGCATATTCGGTTTATTTTAATATAAACTTGTGAGATAATTTTTACGGACCAAGACAGACAGACGTGAAATGAGAGTGATATTTGGTTTATTTTTAAAGAATACAAATTACATATGCGAGTATCTTCCTTCTATCCTTATGAAATCCGTATTCTATGCAAAATTACAAAAAGCGTAAACATATAATTGAAATGTAATATTATTTGAACTTTTTATAACTACAGGAAATTGAAATATGAATGACATGAGGAGTGATGACAGATGAACACTTTATTCAATTCCGACAAAATCCAATAACCACTAATTTAGCAAATAAACTTTTTGTTTTTATAAGCAAATTTTACATAAATTTAATGTGTAATCAAAGTACATAAAAACATAACAGAAATAGTAGAAATACAAATAGATTTTACTCTACAATTACTAAAGCAAATGTTATCATTGAACCAATGTCACACTATATCAATATAAATAAATGATGATTATCATAGTGAATAAATATAACAATAAATTAATGCAAAATAATGCTTTTACCAAATAAATAGCACATTGAATTGAAATTAAAGTGAATGATATATTGAACAAATAAAACATTGAATCAGAAAACATGATCTTGTGTTTTATCACATCTTAACAAGAAATCTTATTGAATGAATTTCATATTATTTCTATTAATAGTTTCAGTACATGTGTAAGATGTTGATTCATTCTTCATAATTCTTAGATTTTGGAATAGAATAAATCAAATAAGGATTCTAAAAAAAAGTATATAATCTATGTTTTAATCAATTATAAGGAAATGTAAGAAGATAATCCTCTTGTAAGAGAACAAAACTCCAAAAACTTTATCATCACACATTCAATAAGATATGTAACTTCTCTTTTTTTATATGATAACGCCTTTGATTTCACGATAAATTGATATATGAATGTTGTAATGTTGAGAAGAGAAGTATAGTGTTACAGGAACGAATAGGTTGTATATTTCAATGTATAAGTAGATTGAATGTCAGCTCAAAAATATTAAGTAGTAGATAAAAATTCTGAAATTAAAACAACATTATTCGTATTAGTATTTAAGACGAACATTTCATCCTCTTTGTAACTTGTCAGACAAATCTACCAACATCAAAATGTTATTCTATGCACTGAGCCGTTGTTAATCGCTATTCAAATATAGTAATCAATTTATCACTGTAATCAACTATCAACTAGACTAAATGTCGTCCAAAATCAATCAGTTTTGTATATCGTATATTTACCACAGAAAAATACAAATCCTCATATGTAATAATTAAATACTTTACCTTAAAATTACATTATCTACCTGATAATTAATGATAAAATATCTGTAAATGTTGGATTTTTATGATATTTCAATGGAATGAAATGTTTCTATGCAGTATTCTTTAAATTGTCTGATAGTTAATTAGAGAGACTGACATTCTTCCAGACAGATGTACTGAATAGATTGAATTTATTTTACCATATCTCTTTTTAATAATTTATAGAGTTAAAGATCAGATAGAATTTTCCGTTAAGTTTAGCTTAATTATTATACTTATATAAGGTCTGTGAATGCAAGCAGGACTAAAGTGAACTAGAAGTATACGTATATATATTCATTGTAAACTTTCTTAGCTTCTTATTTCCTCTCCATACTGGAACTCTTATTACAGCTTATATAAATCAAATTATTTCATGGTGTTGATTGGACCATTGTGTTGGAATGTTGTATTTTTCTGGTTAACAGTGATGTTTTCAATTCTGTTCAAAGTCATTTACGTATCGAAAAAAAAATTACTTCTCGCTGCACATGTCCTGGATGTTGAATGTTCATTTCTGTTCACACCAATGTTCGGAAGAACATTTTTCAATTCACAACTGACAGATTATTTTGGATTAAAAATTTCATATGAATACTTTTAAGCGTATTTTACCAAGATGTATTGAAATAAAAAGGAACACTAGAGCTTTGAAAGGACACTACTTAATTTTCGATAAAACATTCTGAAGTATTTATCTTAGTCCCAACAATTACAATCTTATTCGATTTGGAACGCTCATTGTAACTTCGTATTTCAACAATACTCTTCGAAGGCAAGTAGAACATAGCTTATTTCAAGCTATTAATCCCGTTTATTTTTGTCATAAAAATAGGTTTCTTCAGATATTCTTAAAAATGCTCATAACAGTATAGTTTAGATTCCACAAATTCAAGCATAGAATCCGCAGAACTGGTAGTAATAAAAGTGGCAAAAATGTAACTAACACATTTATCACTAAAGTGTATTGGAAATGTCTTCTTTTCATATTTTTGAATACTAGGTAACAAACATCAGTGATGACTTATCGTACTAGGCTACATTAGCTCACATTATGAGTTTACAGTAAAGTAGAAAATGTTTGAAAATTAGACATTCATATCAATGGGTGTCTATTGATAAAGACGAATCTATCAAATCATGATGGTTGTAATCGATACTTTCAAGGTCAAAGATCAGGTCAATTAAGAAACCAGTAACAATACATTCACAATCAACAATGGAACAATCAATAAATTGACTATGCATATTCTAGATCGTTTAGATAGATGGCCAACCTACTTACCGA